ATCTCCCCGTACACCGTTGGAGTTAAATTGGCCTTCTATTCATATTATTTTCATAAGCTCTCCCAACAACGGTTACAATGTTCATCAGTCCCAACGAATTCGTATGATTCCTGTCAATCTGCTACCATCATTCTTTCCCACAGTATAGTTGTCCAATTGAATAATCCGGCATTCGTTTGCGATCAAGCATTATACTATTTGATTTGTCATATATTTAAACTCCAAAATAAATAAATGCCTTGGTAAACAATTGTGTGAATATAATGCAATGGGCTGAATATTAACCTTCAGGAGTGATTTTTTAGGTACACAAAGCTAGTTTTTATATAGAATCCGAAATTGAGTCGGTCAGTCGTCTTTTTTTTTTTTAAAAAAAAAAATTCTACTTTAAATTAGTAGTATCATGTTCAGATTTAAGACTACGCAAAGTTAATCTTTCTTTTTGCATAGCTAGTAATCAGAAAATTGTGCTGACAGTTTTTTTTTCTGTCGGTCCTGTCGGATAATTACAAAAAAGTAAGGTCTCCAGCAATACCGGATAAAAATGACAAAAAAATAAACAGCAACAATCTAGATGTAAAAAAATTTTTTTTTGAAAAATTGAAAAATGATCGGTTGGGTAACGTAAGACGGAAAATTAACTTTGTGGTCTTAATTTCGATCTTCAATTGCGCTTGAACAGATAGATTACTTGAGCTATGATTCAAAGTCAAATAATTTCGATATATAAATATCATATTCACTCTGAAATGATTTAACATCCTTAACCGCATACCCCAAGAAACTGCTGTATATTCGGATGTCAACTTTTTAGAATATACCAAGAACGGAGTGCAACGAAGCGCATAGTTTTTTCTTTGCGTCACTCGTATATTCAATTTTCATAATAATGATTAACGTTAAACAAAATTTTATTTTGATAAGGGAAGCTTCAGGAATCAGCTAAATATTCATATTCTAGAAGATTATAACTTTGAAATTCACTTAAAATTACAAATCACAAATATGAATGAATACATCTATGTGAAAACCAAGAATTGATTGCTATAAAATAAATATTCCAAATTTTCGCTTAGTGATACTTATTTTAATGTTAATTTTCTTTTTTAAGTCAACACAAGAATATATAGTCTATTATTAATTTACAATACAATAAATTGATAGTTAATTGGAATCGGATCCTATCATTTTCCCGACAAGTTAGCCCCATTAGGTTAGAGATAGCGTTAGTTTTGGTAATTTTTGTTGTCGGAAAATTTAAAGAGGCCCAATTGGAATTATATATGCTAATCAACAGAATACGTAACTGATAAAATATATAGCAATTTATATCATGCTTTGATAAAATTCATTGTCCATTTGTTTCTGAGCTGGAAACTTTTTTTTGATGAGCGGCAGCAGCTTGAACTAACCGAACTATTGCGTCTATATAGAAGAAACTTCCGTTAAAATCATTACTTTGATTAATATTTCTTAGAACACTAACCAGGATTATTAACAGAAAGTTGTTCAATCATCTCAAGATCTTCGGTAGAAAGCTGTCCAAACATCTCAGACATTTTATTAAAAATTTTTTCGTCATTGGTCCTATTAGGTTCTAAATCAGTATAGTTAAAAAGGGGAATTATTAAAAATTGTAATGTCTATTCAAATAATTAATTCAATGAAACATATTTCTCACTTTTCTCACTGGATGTTATTTGACCGATATCAGTATCAGAAATACAACATTGTGATGAATCTTTCCATTTTTCACCTGATATTATCTCTTCTTTATGCAATGATTTATATACCTCTTCAATCTCCGGCCGTAATTCTGGTTTCCCATCCCAGCAATTTGTATAGAGCTCAACATAAGAGATAGTGGTCCCATTTATGGGGTTTTCTCGAGTTCCTTCTATTATTTTGAGTGAGAGTTGAAGAAGTGCAACTTTTGTGGCATTGATACTACATTTTTTAAATGGGGGTCGACCATTGCTTGTGATTTCCCACATAACTACACCAAGGCTATATATATCAGACTTGTAATCAGGCGGTGCATTATGATTTAATATCTCAGGGGCTACAAATGGTACGCATCCTCCAATTTTCTGATTTGATTTGCTATTACGGGGAAGAACTTTTGAAAGTCCAAAATCTGTAATAATGGCTCTAACACCATCTCCATCTTTTTGGATAACCACATTTTTAGTATGCTAATATAAAATAAATTTATTAGTTATGATTGATACAACCTTAATTGATTGTTAAAGATTGTGTATCTTACTAAGTCACGATGTAAAATTTCATTTTTATGTAAAAAATATAGACCGCCGGTAACCTGTCTTGCAATATCGACCTTCTGTTCCCAATTTATAGTATTTTTGCTCAGATAATAACGTAAATTACCGAGATCTGCGTACTCAAGTATAAGGTAAAGATCTGTTTATATGAACAATAACAAAGAACAATAAGTATATAGTACGTACACACATGAATTGAAGCTCACACAAAAAAATTTACCAGATTCGTCGCTAGATGTCGCAATTTTGAAAAAAATTCAAATTTCAACAAAAATGCACATTCATTTTGTAATATTTTGATGTAAGTTAAAGTTTACATGATATCAATACCTCGATACACCAAAAAATTTGATTACATTTTTATATCCTACGAGAGATGATTTTTCTTTATTTTTTTCAATTGTTATATTTGAATGTACTAGACCAATATTATGAAAAGCCTTAATCTGTTCAAATTACATTAAACGGGAAAAAATTTATTAGCGTATAAACAAATTAGCTGACACATTGGTCTTACCTCTTTAATAAACTCATCATTATCTGAATTTGTTTCTTCGGAAACTGCCACTGCCTTCAACACAACAGTTATATTCTTTTCTATCCATTTCGCCTTTGTAATAACCCCAGAACCACCAGTATCAACAAATTCTATTTTTTCATCAATCTCAGTCCAACAGATGAAATTTATTATCTTATTTTTACTAACCCTCTCAATATAAGCTTTTACAGTTTCATTATAATCACGTCTAGTTGTTAAATATTTGCTAGTTTCTGTTCCCGACATAATAAATAATATTTTAATTCAAAATTTTCAATTGATGTTCTTAAACATTCAATTTATATCCATCATTTAGAGAAATTTTTGGTTATTTACTTGCTACTATGTCAATTTGAATTTTTACATTCTTTAAATGATTACTGTACCAGTACTGTAAACAATCGACATAATCTACATTGATCGATTTCTATTTATATTAATTGGGACTTTGGCAACAAGATATACGTAATTGTTGAAGATTAACATTCGACTTCTTTATATGATTCTAAATCTAAATATTAGTGATATAATATAGTAGTCACCGTTAGCTTACGGATAAAAAAAAAACAGTTCATTCAAATATAAACCTATTATATTTTTCACTATCCTGTATTTTTACCGTCCTCTAGTTTTTTTCCGGCCTATTGCTATATTTCTAGGAAATACAATTCATTGTGTTTGGTGTCTCGAGCAATATTAGTTATGTTCAACTAATAAGCGCTATTGAGATGAACAAACAGAAACAGGTTGTGTGATATTTAGAACGAATACTGTATCATTTACTACTGACAAAGTACCCTCTTTTCTGCGAATAGTACCCTGTTTTACGCAGGGTATAGAAAAATGCGGATTAATGTGCATGATACGTAAAATGCGCATGACATTGCATAATAAAAATTTAAACTTTATCCTTTCTTTACGGAAATTATCGACCTTTCACATCTTTTATGTTATCTTTTCCATAAATTATCTTAAAACACTAAAAACATCATTCATTTTCTTTTCGGAATTTTTCAGGATCCTTTTTAATTCCGCACGCATTATGAATTCCGGCCTAAATTACAGACCGCACAAAAACTGTATATATATATATATTGATGAAATAAAATGCGCATGAATTCTCAATCATGCGTACGCATGGAACCCATCTCTAGCCTGGATAATGCATGCAGTACTAAATGATAACGATAAGTTTTTTCTTTAGTACTAAATGATAATGATAAGTTTTTTTCTTTAGGTTAGTTCGATGTTGAATTTACAAATTGCTTTCCAGTATTTTTAATAGTACCTCAAGGCAGTGTTGTCATGAGACACGGACGCGGACAGTCTGGGACGGGACGTCCGCGGACATACCCACAGACATTTTTTGTCCCAGACAATTACAGTTATTATCATTATTTCTGGGACGCCTGAAGAATTTTCAGATGACCGAAATATCCTCTGTTTCATTCGGTAAATTACCTAGCACTCCGAAATTACATCACTGAAGGTCCGGAGACAGCGGTATAGTTTCCGAGAAGTTAGGTAATTTACCGAATGAAACAGAGAATATCTCGGTCTTCTGAAAATTCTTCAGGTGTCCCAGAAATAATGATAATAGCTGTAATATTATAATAAGAACGGCCTTGTCAGCCTATCGGGTTGTTCAATAAGCTATATGACATGGGGCGCTATTACGGACATTGGACATTGTCCGGGACATGGGACACTGTCCGGGACAGTCGTGTCCCTGCAATTTTAACGGGACAACGTCCGTGTACAACACTGCCTCAAGGTTAAGGATGGCTCCGAAAGTGGGTACTTTCGGTACTTACCGAAATCGAAAGTCTA